TGAGATCCGCTGGCAATCAACTGATCATTAGGAGACAACGCGATGGCATTAATAGTCTTCTCGTGAGCTCTTTGTGTATACTTTGCCGACAATGCCGTCGGCTTTTCATCGCTGGAATCATCGGTCGATTTCTTGGGAATCTTCCACACCTTCAAAGTGGTGTCTTCGCTGCCGGTCACCACAAATTGGCAGCGAATGTATGGCGTGGCTATAGATGTGACGGAATGCGTGTGACCGGAGCCGTAGTACAGACACCGGGCCTCAGTCAACGAGTCCGCAAATTTCCAGACTCTGATCACATTGTCTTTCGATGAACTCACGAGTAGAGTAGGATCTGATGGGTAAGTCTCCAGCGCTAACACTATATCCGTGTGTCCTTTCAGGAGATAACAGTTCAATGAATTCAACTCAAAGATCTTTATATTAGGGCTGTTGGTGGCGATGGCTATATGGGTCTCATTGGCGCCCAATATAGCGATGTCTAACACTTCGTCCATATGTCCCACAAACTAGATGTCGGAATCAATACAATTAGTATTCAAGTAATGGACAGAGAGGTAGAGCGCAGACCTGTTTAACGGGCGATAAGTCGTCTATTTTATGAAACAATATATTGTTTTCATACGAAACGATCACAATCTGTGATAACTCTTCGGAATACAACGTTTGTGTTATTAACTGACTGTTCATTATCTTCTCATTCATCTCTTCGCCGGACTCTTGTTTGACGGCTAACAACGAATTCTGTTGAGTGTATAACAGATCTCCCGTTCCGTAGTTCCATAACCGAAGCACACCTTTCTCTCCGGCAGTCGCCATAAGTTTGTCACTTTGCAGTGCATTGATCACCGAAACTCTTCGGCCGTCAATCACTTCAAGCGATTCCAGAGACTAAATGACGACAAAAATTCATAATTCGTAATCAATTCAAATAATAATCAGTTCTTCACCTCATATATAGGTATCGATCGCAGCATCTGATGGTCAGATCGGTTCCATACGATCACCAGTTTGTCGCGACTGGCGGTCAGTATGTGTTGCCTATCGATACTGAACCGAATGGCCGTCACTTTACTGCAGTGTCCGTCCATTTTAGTCACGTGTCGACTAGTAATCAGGTCCCACACGTGAACACTATAATCATCGGCCGATCCGTATATATAATAGCTATCATCCGAATGGACGGGACTGAAGGCAATGGCGCCCAACACTCCCTGAGCGCCCTTCAGGTTATGGGTGCAGTAATTATGGCCCAAATGCCACACTTTGATGGACGAGTCGACGCCACCCGTAGCCACCAATCGGTTGGTGCCGTCGCACACGATGGCGACTATAGGGCCCGAGTGTATGGACTTCCAGGTGCGCACCAGACGCCTGTCCTCCCAAACCCATTGTCTCAATAGACCGCTTTGATGGCCAATCACCAGATACTGGTCGTCGGCGCTCAACCCAAACGCTATGATATTGTCGTCGCTCTGAATGTTTGTGGTGTCGAGTAGTGGTGTTTCATTAGATTCATGAACCAGTTTACTGGTGATCAGTATCACCGCTAAGACTCGGTACTCACCTCTGACTTGATTTCGTTCACCACTCGACCGTCGCTGACGTCCAACACTTTGATGACATCGAAACACGCGGTAAATACATGTCGGCCATCGGAACTGATCTGAGATTTGTGTTAAGATAATAGTGAAGACATTAAGACATATTCATCGGCAGTGAAAAAGTGTCACAAAATTACTTGAATTTTATTTCCCGTAAAAAATGATTCAATCTTTGATTTGACGGCAAAACTATTGATCCAAAAAATTTGACAACAAATTAGTGGTCAAGAAATCTATTGTCTCTCGAAGACGTACCTCTGTTTCAGCACCTCTTTGGTGGACATTGTCTTCAAATCAAATCAAAGTTTGTCTCCAATTGAAAGTCACATCAAAAGCACGTGTCGTTTGTTTTGCTATTCAATTGCATAACCATTTGGACAGTAATTACGTAAAGCATTGAAAGTTTGAGTAAAACCATGAATTGGTGGCCAAGAAGTTGACGACAAAGAAGTCGTTACAACTCCAAGAACTCAAACGGTTGGCCAACCATTTGGTCCGTTCCGTGCGTTTCTTAAGACATAATATGCTGAAGATATCTGTTTTGCGGGCATTCATTTTGGAGCGGATCCGCAACTTTGACCGCAATGTCACCTCTAATGCCATTCAAGAGTTTTTGACACTTTTTAATGAGTCGGTGACCACCGATGGAAAGGCTGTCCACAAGACTAATGACTCGAAAGTAAGCAAAAAAGCGGTGAAACCGAAGAAAAAGATAAAGAAATACTCGAAAGAAGAGACAATTCATACGAATAAAGACGAGCTTTGAATACAAACTTTAAAATTCACTCATTTTGTAATTACTGTACCAAAGGCTAGAAAATACTTTTATTAACTATTACTAACTTTTACTAACTTTTTCTTTAACTTTTTCGTTAACTTTTATTAACTATTAAATAAGCGTTCAATAAGGGCGTCATATCACAAACAAATTTTAAATGTTTTTTATTCAAATAACAATAATAACCAAAAATTTATTAATTTATTAAAATCTATAAAATATAATTCAATTTTCTATATAAATTCAAAAATATGCCCAAAATGTTGAGTGTTTGCTAAACATTAAGTCTCTATTGAATGATTGTTTGCACAAAAACACGATTAAACTATGTTTTGCTTTTTCAAAACAATTCACAATTTAATCATTAAATTCACAAAACGTGTAATAATTAGACTCTAAAAGTGGTCACAGAATAGGAGTACTCTTCGAGAGTCGAGTAAACAATTATCACAAATCCTATCATCCAATGAGATGTCATTATAATGGCTATCGACGAGACATAGGGTGTGGTACGGAAAGGCAACCCTCTCTGGCCCTAGAATGAGGTGACGCCAGAAAACTTTCGCATCTCTTCGTACGTAATCCAAAACACTAGACTCCAGGGGCCCATCCTATACGGCACAGGGATTACCGGCAAAAAAACAATACAATAACTAATGAAAACGAGTTGTCCGGTTGTGTGGATGGCATACCTGATCCAACAGGGAATGAATCCCTTGTAGAGCGAGAAAAAGCCCTCTCCTCTGATGGCCTGAAGGAGACAATCGACGGATGACTTATACAGAACTCCTCTGCCATTGGCGTCCGTCGGCTGATTCATGACCCGAGTCTTGACCACATCGGCCGGTGTTCCCAAAATAGCGGCGATAAAACCCGAAAACACACTACAGTCACACACAAAATGAGCACAAAAGGTGACACAAAACCCCGGGGCGGGCGGGCGTGAGAGCTGGCCGGCCCTCACCACTAACTGCCACTCGACCCATACCTGGAGAGGGCGTGCGTGAAGTAGTTGTCCTTTAAGTTGGTGTGTTTGAGGATCATGTGCTTTGCCGTGTCATAAGTGGTGAGGTCTCCCAGATTGACAAACGCCGCCCTCTGCACGTTGGGCGCCCACCCCTTCCACAGTCCGCGAACGCCACCCTCTTTGACAATCTTAGCGAACGCGTGTCGGGCGTTGTGGACGCGAGGCTCCATTCCCTGCAGCCGTCGTTTGCCCTCCATTTGGATCTGCACCTTGACCAGATCTGCAGGACTGGCCAGGAATTGGGCGGTCATACCGGCAGCCATACCGCCCACTATAGCCTTCCACACGGGTATCGTTCCGTCCGGGTTCTTACCCAACAGCTCCTCCCGGATGTACTCATATAATGTCATTCGGACTCCGGAATAGACTTCAAGAATATATTCAATAGATTTTACCGTTTCGGCGACAGAATCCGCAGTAACTCGGTTTCGGCGATGAGTGCAGGTTTGGATTGCTTTTGACGATAGGGCGACCCTTTCGCACCTGTCCACAGATGTGACCAACAATGGGAGTCATATTTAATGATAGATTATGGCTATAGGTGTGAATGGGTTGAAGGCAAAGAGATAACTGAAAATTTTTTTGATTTTTATCCCTATTTATAGCGAAAAGCTTTTGGCGTAAAGTCTATACAATTTGGAGTCTGTTTTCGTGAATGCATGCTTTGGTTGACTACAAAAGCCAATGAAAAGGATTAAAAGTGACAACATTTCTAAGAATTGGAGTCAATTCATGGATATATTAATATCACTTTTAGGACAAATGTCGTGAGAAATCAAATTATGTTGAGATCACATGAGGTTTAGTGTAAACTTTGATCATATAAATGTAAATACATTTTCATGAATTAGGTGTAAATGTGGTGCCAAACCCCAAATGGTAAGCCATTCTGTCTTTTATTAATCCCTATGTCTCCACAAACATGGGCTTAAAGTTGAAATTTTGAACTTTAAATGATTTACTGATCTTATGATAAGAGATTGCAATCATTTCGCACATTATCGCTAAAACTGCAATAATTGACAAATAATTAATAACTATTTTTAAAATTATTTTATTTAAACTAAAATATAAATAAACTTTAGGTTTCGCTACAAATCTCTTCGTCAGAATCATCGGTCAAAGCAATCACTTTATTATCACTGAACTCTTCCTCATCGTCACCACCGATGGTCATAGCATTCACTTTACCGGAAATGGCGCTCATATCCGGCAATTTAATTGTCTCCCAAACATAGTCCACAAAAGTCACAGATTGTTGCAATCGATTCAATCGACTCATATGTCTGTCATTATATGGCATCAGTTTCTCGAGCTTTGCCTTCAATTCCGGAGTTTTAAGCAACTCTTTTGGGGGTATTTTGTGGACAATGGCTTTGAGGACACATTGAGCGCAGATGTAATGCTTGCTATTAGTGTTCCATACGATAGAGTAGTCCAGTAGTGACAGCAACTGATCCTCTCTTAGGCGCAACAGAATCTCATTGATCTCATGGGCGCCGTTGGGTTCCAGTAGTATCTCTTTCATTATAGTCAACGTACGGAACGGCTGGTCCAGTCTTATGGACAGTTTCAGTGCATTCGACCACTTCTTCTTCTGCAGGAAATTCAATAAATTTTGTTCACTAATCATCTGATTCTCGTCCTTCACAGCCGTGGCCTCCCGTTCCTCTGCTGTCACGTCATTCCATATGATTATTGATGAGTCAGAGCTACCGGTGATCAGTAGTGTCTTATCGGATGACTGCGTGAGCGCCAGAGCCCACACTTTGT